ATCCCAGGCAGGCTCCTCGATATCAGTGCAGAGCCGAATGCGGGGCTCAGTCTCACAAACTGTGAGATCATGACCTGAGCCCAAATCAAAAGTCAGATGCTTAACCGACAGAGGCACCCAGGTGCCCCTGGTTTGTCTTTAAACTGCTGCTTACTTGTGCTTACTTCTAGCCCCTTCCAACTCTGATCTATACTCACGAGCAGGTAGTTTTTATTTCGTAAGTGCGTTTCTGAGTCTGTCACCATCCTGTTCAGAATTGTCTATAAATTCGTTTTGCTCTCTCTATATTGGTCCTTTGTGGCCTTCATGCCTCCTTGGCGTGTAGCATGTATTTATAACATATCATACATACAAAAAGGGGCATATGTGTGTAAATTTTTAAACAATAAGACAAATATCTGCATATATATACTACTCAGGTTAGAAATAGAACTTTACATGGGGTGGCTGGGTGGCTCAGTTGGTTAGGTGTCCGACTTAAGCTCGGGTCACCCTCTCAGGGTTCATGAATTCGAGCCCCGTACTGAGCTCTGTGCTGACAGCTCAGAGCCTGAAGCCTGCTTCAGATTCTGTGTCTCCCTCTCTCTCTGCCCCTCCCCTGCCCTTGCTCTGTGTCTCTGTCTCTCAAAAATAAATAAATATTTTTTAAAATTTGATAAAAAGAAAGAATATTACCAGTTTCTCAATAGGTCCTTGTATAAAACCTTCCCAATTACAAACGCTGTTCTATACTCTTTTTTTCCTACAATTAACAATATATCTTAAAGTCTCTTCATATCTGTACATCTCTCATAACTACCTTTATGAATTAGGTATTAATTTAATATTGTGCTATAATTTTGCACTTGTGTATGTATCCATAAAAATATTAGTTTTCTAATATCGCTTAACATATTACCCTGAAACTTAGTGGTTTAAAACAACATATATTTATTATCTCACAGTTTTTGAGAATCAAGAATTTAGAAATGGATTATTTGAGTGGTTCTGGCTCAGAATCTCTGAAAATTTGCCGTCAAAATATTAAACAGGTTCCAGTTATTTGAAGGCCTTACTGGGGTGAGGGATCAGTTTCCAAGATGGCTCATTCATGTGCTGATGGCAGGAGGCCACAGTTTCTTGCAGTGTGGGCTCCTCCATAGGGTTTCTTGATTTCGCTTCCATAACATGGCTACTTCTAGAATGAGAAATTTGAGAGAGAGAGAGAGAGAGAGACTAAAGTCACAATGTTGTTGAAGACTTAGCCTCAGAAGCCGCATATACAATTTCTTCTAAGTCCTGTTTTACAGACTGACTATTGAATAGGATTGTCTGGCAGTTTGGGGGTGGTGTCTATACCAGGGCAGGAATAGCAGGAGGTAAGGCTCATTGGGCCATCATGCAGGTTGGGTATCACAAAAAATAACACACAACTCACTTCTACTTATTTTTTGCATTTTATATAATGAATCATAGAGTGGATAGATTTCTCTCTTTCCCAGTGTTCCCCCCGCCCTCCTCTTTGGAGGTTCACAAGGCACATTTCTATATTATCAGTGTTCTTTTTTTTTTAATTATTTTTTTTAACGTTTATTTATTTTTGAGACAGAGAGAGACAGAGCATGAACAGGGGAGGGTCAGAGAGAGGGAGACACAGAATCTGAAACAGGCTCCAGGCTCTGAGCTGTCAGCACAGAGCCTGACGCGGGGCTCGAACTCACGGACTGTGAGATCATGACCTGAGCCAAAGGCGGCCGCTTAACCGACTGAGCCACCCAGGTGCCCCTCAGTGTTCTTTTTTTAAAGGTTCATCTATGTTGATGCGCGCCTTAGTTTGTTGGGATTGTTATAACAAAATACCATACATGGTGGCTTTCAAACAACAGAAGTTTATTTCTCACAGTTCTAGAGACGGGGAAGTCAAATATCAAGGTGCCAACAGGTGAGAGCCTGCTTCCGGTTCATAGATAACTGTCTTCTCTCTCCTTCTCACATGGTGGAAACTGTGAGGAACCTCTCTGGGGTCTCTTTTAATTTAGCACTAATCCTATACATGAAGGTTCCACCCTCATGATCTACTCACTTCCCCCAAATCCCACCTCCAAATACCATCACAATGGAGATTAAGATTCAACATACAAATTTTGAAGAGAACATAAACATTCAGTCTATAGGAATGTTGTATGGCTGTAGTTCATTCATTTTCACAGATGTCTAGTATTCCACAATTTGTTTACCCATTCTACTGTTTACACTCTTACAGTTAAGTGAGGAGTTTTCTCTGGAATATATATACTATGGGAATATATCTATAGTAGTTTATGTAGGACACGCCTATGTTCACCTTTTAAGAAACAGTTATCTAAAGTTGTGTATTTGTTTATTTTCACATAGTCGTGGATGAGAATTTCAATTGCTTTACATCTTGCCAAAGCTTAGTATTCTGCAACGTTAAAATTTTTGCCAATTCAATGGCTATGACATAGTATTTCACCGTGGTTTTAACTTGACATTTCCTGATTGGTAATGAGATGAACATGTAGTCATCGTTAGTTCCTTTAAAGGAAACTACATGTTCTGAATACTAATTCTTTTTTGGTTATGTGAGTTGCAACTACTCTCTCCTACTTAACTTAGGCTTGTCCTTTCACTTTTTTTAAAAAAGTAAACTGAACGCCCAATGTTGGGGCTCACACTCATGACCTGACTCGGAGATCAAGAGTCATATTCTCTACCAACTGAGCCAGCCAGGCAGCCCTTGTCCTTTCACTTTTTAATGTTATGTTTTGATTTACAGAAGTTCTTAATTTTAATGAAGTCAAATTTATCAAACCTTAAATTTATGGTTTGTGTTTTTGTGTGTTATTTAAGAAATCTTTTCCGGGGCGCCTGGGTGGCGCAGTCGGTTAAGCGTCCGACTTCAGCCAGGTCACGATCTCGCGGTCCGGGAGTTCGAGCCCCGCGTCAGGCCCTGGGCTGATGGCTCAGAGCCTGGAGCCTGTTTCCGATTCTGTGTCTCCCTCTCTCTCTGCCCCTCCCCCGTTCATGCTCTGTCTCTCTCTGTCCTAAAAATAAATAAACGTTGGAAAAAAAAAAAAAAATTTAAAAAAAAAGAAATCTTTTCCTATGATGAGCTTATGAAGATATTCCATATTTCCTTCTCACAATTTTATAGTTTTGTTTTTTATGTTTAAAAAGTTTCATCCACGTGGGATTGTTTTGTGCCAGGTGTGAGTTGGGGGTAGAATTTCATTTTTTCTATATGTATTTGTCAATTGCCCAAATTTCGTTTATTGAACAGTAATATCCCTTCCCCATCATCTGCAATGGTTGCTGTGTCATAAATCAAGTTTCTATATATACTTGGCCCTTTATTGATCCATTGGTTTGTTGTCTGTTCCTGTGCTGACACCACATAGTTTTAATTACTCTAGCTGTGTAGTAAGTCTTCATATCTGGTATGTTGTCCTACCTTTTGTTTGATAGAAGAACTAGGGTTTTGTTTTGTTTTGTTTTGTTTTGTTTATTATTCCATATACATTTTAGAATCAGTTAATCAAGTTTCATGGCAAACTCTGTTGGGAATTTGATTGAAGTTGCATGGGACTGGGATGCAATCGGTTTGAGGTGCCACTATAACTTGAATCAACTGTAAAGAGATTTTTGTAAAACAACTCGACTCTGTGGAAATCTTTCAAAAACAAGTGCCAGGAACAGTCCCATAGATCTTAGAGACCTTTCGACCATTTCTTCTAATTGTACCTGCCTTGCTCCCCACCATCTTTGCAAGAGAGAGAGAGGGAGAGGGAGAGAGAGAGATGGAAACGGAGGAAATCCAAGTTGTAACTAAAGGTGATAAAAGGTGGGTATCCAGGAGTTTTATCAGCCACTATTTTCTCTGCTGTATTTTCTAGGGACATACTATTTGGAGAAGTGGAATTGAAAGTAAGGGCTGGGAAGAAAGATAGGGTGAGTTGAAGCATAAAGGGAGGATATGCTCCTGAAACTGCTGTTTCTTATGCCTAGTGGGTTCTAAAGTTTGGGGGGGAAGAGTCCTGAATGGGGGCTAGGAAAGACTTCAGAGAAAAGGTGGCATTTGCGCTGGAACAACAGCGTAGAAAAGAGTTCCTTGGTGAGTGCCTATATGGGAGATGGGGTGAAGCTGTGACAGGAGGGACTGAAAAGAAAAACGGTTATGGACACGCCAGGCGGACGGAGCAGCATAGGCAGGAAACAGCGAAAAGGATGGGTTAATAGGAGGCAACAGTCGTTCACTTTAAGTGAGATAGAGCTGGAAAGATAAGGAATAGCCTGATTGTGCAAGGTCCTGAATACAGAGCTAAGGACTTCGGACTTTATCCTGGGAGGGCAGTGAAGGCTCTTGAACAGGAGAGTAACCGGACCTGAAATTTGCTTCGGGAAGACAATTGTGGCCACCGCGAGGAAGGGAACCCTGTGGCGTCCGGAGGCGGAGCAGGGCAAAGAGCACGGCCGCCTGCAGGGGGCGCGCCGCTGGACCCGACACCCTCCCCGCCCCCTGCCCCGCTGCCCTGATCCCGTCGCGACACTCTCGGAACTCGGCTAGCACGCCTGGACGCGTCCCACTCGGGCTTCGGCTGGTTCGTCTGGACGCGCCCCCGTGCGTCACGTCCGCTCTGGCACTAGGCTTGTTAGCGCCGAGGAGGGGCGCGAAGGGAGCTTTTGCGCCTGCGCCGCCGCCAGCCGCTGTCGGCGGTTAACGCTGAGGGCCCCGGGAGTTTTCACGTCTCCACTAGCGCGTTTTTGAGTCCGCCACGGTTGTCTATAATGGCTGCACGCCCATAGGTGTTTTGTGCCAAGAGATACAACCAAATGGCACAGAGGGGCTCGATTGCTCCCCGACCTTAGCGGTGCCGAGCCCAGGTCTCTCAGCTGAAAAGCGTCGAGCCTCTCCACTGCAATTTTCCTCCAGCTGCTTGGTCTCAGTTTGCGGCCCAAATGTCCAAACTAGTGAAAACCTGTCCCGGCTGCTAAGCATGCCCATGACGGGCTGTAATCCCTGTTTCTTAGGGCTTGTTTACCTCTGCAGTCAAATCAGAGGCTCCCAAGTTGTCAGGGATCTCGGAGGTCAACAAGTCCAGCCTGTTAACCCCGACGTCCCAAGTGAATGAATGTACCGTTTTTATCCGCACAGCCCCGCTTCCTGGGACAACTGTGATTAGCTTGTCTTGAACATCTATTGTGTACCAAGTACTGTAGGTCCTGGGGATGTAATGATGAAGTAGGTTGATCTCTTGCAGTATATTCTAGTGGCCGTGATGATGCTAGCAAGGGACTAACCAAGGTTTATGGTAACAACATATAGGTGGGAATTTAGCGTGATCAGAGAAGGCCTCTTGGAGGTGGTGACGTTTCTAACCAGCCAAGTGAACAGTTAGGAGCAGAGTGAGTTTCAGGCTGAGGGAAGAGCAAAGCACCTGCGCAGGAAAGAGGTTGCTGTTTTCTAGGAATAGACAGAAGGCCAGTGTGACTGGAGTGTGGTGAGACAAGGTTGAGAATGGTAAGAAAAGGTTGAGAATGTAAACAGCCAAATGCAGGCTTTGTGGGTCTCACCAACTGTGAGATCATGACCTGAGCCTAGATCAATAGTCAGATGCTTAACTGACTGAGCCACCCAGCCACCCCTACATATCATACGATTTTTTCTATATTAATCCTTTGATATCAGACACTTGAAGATGGCTGACATGAGAGTCCCCTTCCTCTGAGACCCCCTTCTCCTACCCTAACTCCACTCAAAGCTGTGGTTCCTCTATCTCATCGTACCCAGAGGGTGTATGTATGATTTTCAAAATGCCATTCTAAATACTTTGAAAGTGTGAAGGATATTAAAATGTAAACCATGTGTGTACATTTTAAAAGGGAAGGACCTAAGACTTTTATTATGAGATTTGTAAAGAGAGCTTGTAGAGATTAAGAACCACTGCTTAAACATTTTCATCCACGTGATCCTGGTTATTGTTCTCTGAAATAGCTGAACAATATCAGCTTCAACCAAGGCTAATTCTCTAAGCTGTCTCCTCATCTGTTAAATGAAAACAATAGGATTCTATGACTTATTAAATGAGATTATGCTCAAAAAGTGCTTAATGGTAAACCATGAGGGCCAGCTGCACCGTACCACTGAGATGAACAACTTGTAGATAATGCTCATTTAGCACTCCTCAAACATTCACTAAGTGTCTATTCTGTGTAGAACCCTTAGTGAAAAAGATCTGCCTTCCAGGAGTTTGCTATCTATTTGAAAGAGCCTTGGAGAGATTACAAAACAGATAAACTAAATGCCCTGAGAGGTGCTCAGGGATCTGGGAGCTGCAAGAGAGGTCTCAATTTCCACTGAGGTAAGTGGTTATTGGAGTTCAAATTTAAGTGGGCTTGAGAGATGAACATACTGAATTTGAAACGCACACACAAAATCTATACTGCAGGTACGCATTTTATTCTTGGTGATGTGGAAAGACTAATCGGAAACACTGCAATCGTTTCTATTACCGGACAAATATTGAGCAGTAGGTTTCGTTAGAAAGGCACCTATCTTTTGACCAGTCTGTTTACTATACATTGCATGCTCTGGGCAGTTCTTATCTCCGTGTTCAGGAACAAAGTACACACATACACGCCCCTTTCCGAAACTAAAGGCCCAGAGACGCCAAAAGAGAGGTGGGATTCCTCGCGGCCCAACCACACAATGGGGGCCGCTTCCCCGTAGCTCGCACCCCACCCGGAAGGCCCGGGTTCGACTTCTTGGGGCCCTTTCGCTCCTCCCCTGCAGTCCTCCGGGGCGCCCTTCCTCGCTCGCGCTTCCCTCCTCCTTCGCTGGGGAGCAGGAAAACCCGGAGCGAACCGGCCCTGCTCGGCAGCGCATGCTCAGTAGCCAGCAGGTTCAGTTCGCTAGTAGGAAGCTCGAGCGCTACACCGGCGTCGGCGGCGGCCGCGGCGGCACCTCCGGGCAGCCAGATCCTCCAACGACGACCTCGGGCCTTTCCCCTCCCCCGCTACCCCCCGGCCCCGCTCCGCCTCGGGCCGCTCGCGTTTCGGGGTCGCCGCTGCGCGGAGCGGGCTCCGCGGCCGGAGCGTCCCTCCGCACGCCCTCCCCCAGCCGCCGGCTCCGCCGCGG